GCTGCCCCGCCCCGCGCTGCCCCGCCCCCCGCCTCATTGCTCCCTCTGCTGCAGCTGGGAACTCATGGCGTCCAGGGGCCCCGAGCCCGATGTTGAGCCCCACGGAGTCACAGCTTCTGGTGGATGCAGGTGAGAAGCTGGGTTGCAGGGAGGGGGCGGAAGGTGTCATGACCTAGTTCCTCTGACTGGGGGTGCGTCTGCGTCCTGACTTAGTCGCCACCCCGCACCCAGCATAGCCCACCTGGGGGAGGCGGCGAGGGTGGAGAGGGCACGGCGCGTCTTCCGGAAGCAGCTCACCACGTGGGGAGGACCCTGGCGCCGCTCTGGTGGCGGTTTCCCCGGGTGCTCCTTGATCTCTTCTTGGCAGGCGCATGTCTCCTCCTGGCGCCCTGGCCAGCCGTGAGGGCCCGGCCCTGGGCTTGGGCTCCTTCCAGGGCCTCCCAGCGCCCGAGGGGCAGGGTTCCTGCCGCCGGCGGAACGTGCTCACAGAGCGGCAGCGCAGGTGAGGGGCCCCGTGGGGTGCAGGGAGCCAGCTGCCGAGGTCACAGGCTCTTAAAGGAGTCGGCGGTGAACCGAGGGGATTAGATCTGTGACTGATCAGATTTCAGGTGGACGGGGCAGGTGTATGGTGTCCAGGTGAAGGGACAGGGCCGCCCACTTGGGGCCAGGTGCTGGGGCCCCTCTTGGGCCTGAGGCCATGGGGTCGGAGGTTGTGCGTCGTCTGCCAGCCCTTGACCCTTGGATACCAGACTGCCTCGGACCCTGCTCCTCCCTCCCCACACCCAAAAATCAGTGGTGGTCCAGGCCCAGGCTCAGGCTGGTGGCAAACGCCTGGACAGCCTGTAGCTGGGGCCCAGGATCTATCTGTGCCAACAGAGGTCCCTGAAAGGCTTGGTCCACTGGCTGTGGGACCCCTGCCTGAGAAGCCCCTCTCGTGTTCTGTGGCGGGTTCCCAGCAGCTGCTCTCCTTTTGCCCAGTAAGGGTGGCCAGGCACATGGCTGCTTGTTGCTTGTCCGGCTGCAGGAAGCGGATCGCAGCCAGCTGTGAGCGGCTGCGGGCCCTGCTGCCCTGGTTTGACTGCCGACGGGAGGACATGGCGTCGGTCCTGGAGATGGCCGTGCAGTTTCTGAGGCTTGCTCACACCTTGGTGCCTGCCCAGGGGCAGCACATGGTGAGTTTGAGCTGGTCGAGCCCGCTGGCCAAGCCCTGCCCCTGTCCTTTGAGGGTAGCCCCCACCTGGCTTCCTGGGCCCCTGCCCCCCTTGCAGCCCGAGCAGATCGTTTTTGACATACCTATTCATGTTCCACCAACAGGGGTGCAGGGCCCCGGGGAGGGTCTGAGGTGGCTCCTGCTGTTCACTCATCATCTCCTATGGAGCTGGGGGCGTCAGGGGGTGAACTTCCTGCTGATGGACCAGTCCCCCCACACGGTGGTGGGGGTGTT